AAGAGTAATGTTTATTTGACTGTATAGGCTAGGCCTATCCTACGTTTATGTTATGCATACAGTACAGTGGCTGTAAGCAAAGATACTAGAAATACAAGATAGAGTTCTCGCATGTTAAAAATGAGGCGGAAGTCGTGCCCAACGTAGGCGGCGCCCTTCTTTTTAACCATGCAAGTTTCCTATACTTCGTGCCCAACGTACAGGGCGCCCTTCCGTTGCTAAGTATATCCAGACGCCAAAGGCGCCCTTCCTTTTCCACTAATGGAGAAAAACATTTTCACTAAGAGTGCGTGCGGCCATGGGATTCTGCGCTGTATTGTTGTTTTATTCTTTACTGATTCATAATTATGCTTTAATTGTTTTGTGTATTATTTGGATAAATAGCAACGATTTCTACCGCCACCAAGGAGTGTATGTATTCACCGATGTCACTGTCTATTCCAGTTTGTTTTTATATCTAGTATCTTTGTTGAGAATTGGTAATAAAATACGCGACGACTTGGTAACGAAAGTTTGGCACAAGTTTTTTTTAGATCCAGCTGTAGGGGGCGTACCATTTTAAAAAAGCAAGCCAGGGTTTATTCCAGGGGTTGGTGTGTGCCACTCAACATAAACATAAACATATCTGGTAAATTTCAGTCGCTTAATTGCCGCCATATTCTTAAAATTTTCACACCTCAGTCAGCCCCACTTATTAATAACCAACTAAAGCTCATGCAGTGCGACATTCAAACTTTATTAAACAATTGTAGAAACTGTATTCTTTTAATATCATTTTACTGTAAGTCCTGCGTGTACATGTGTATTATTTGTTTACTACAATTATATTAAAGAAAAATTGATTTTCTAGGCTAGGCCTAGTATTTAATCAAGATCATAGATGAAACAAGTTAACTAAGGACAAGGTAGTCCTGCAATTTCTTAAACTGGCCAACTAGGTGCTAGGCTAGGCCTATATAATAATAATATTATTATATTAAGAGATCTCTAAAGAGCCTGCGTTCGAAGATTGCGTAGGCCTATCTAGCCTTGACTAGGCGTCCACTTTCATGGTCTAAGCCAATTTATAATTTACGCCACAACAGTGACATCTTATACGATCGACTGTAGCACTGCAGAATATCGTATTTGATTCAAAGTTATATCACTTTTCATTTCCCTGGTTACACTGGCAAATGAGAAAGTAATCTTACCCGATAGACATAGATATTTTACAATAAAACAAGATTTTTTGTCTGCAAGTTCTGGTATACTTACGATTCCACTTACGTTTCGCAGTTTTCCAGGCTGTAGCTGGAATCTGGAATTTCCCATGTATTGTACGGCGTGAAAATAACCGGGCGGTGATTGGCTACTTGTTGTTACTCATGAATATTCAACTCTTAGGTGAACCAATGAGCTTGCTTTTTTAATTGGTTGTTGGACCAGGGATTTCCCCAACTTGAAAATAAATGGCAAATGAGAAGTGCTGCACCATTTGCACACATAACAATCTCATCCAAGATTATTTGTTTGGTTGCTATTCGAGTTGTGTAATGTAATGAGATTTTTTTGTTCATATTATATCATAACATCAAACAGAGTATATCATTTTATAAATAATTATTTTTATAGTATAACAAATAATAATAATAATATTTATTTGACATTAATCATTTTATAAATAATTATGTTTATAGTATAACAACTAATAATAATATTTATTTGACATTACACTTTTATATCATTTGCAGCACACAAGTGGCGCAGTCAATCTTAATGAATGAAGAGGAAAAAAACAACAACTTAAAGCTAGACAAATGTAAGAAATTAACTAAAGAAAAATACAATTTTGAGTTTAAAAATAATTCATAAACACCACTCCACATAATAATAATGCACATATAGGCCCTATACACACAATCATGCATACAGTATACACGCACACACACACACACACACACCCACACACGCACACACATCTACACATGCATACACATACACACAGTACATACACACAAATATACACACAACCACATACTGTATATATATACACACCCACACAACCCACATACATATATACAAACTGTATAAAAAATATATAAAAGAAATTAAATTTAAAACATAAGATAAAAAATATAAATAAAATTATACATAGGCCTAACTAAAGCAAAACTGCATTTAACCTGTTTTTAAATCTATTTACTAATCTTTTTTAGCAAATGATTTACAGTTTCTGTCAAATGCAGATGGAACATCATCATTTAAAACAGTATTTCCTCACCCCCACCCCCTCCCAGGAACCAATTGAATTTTATCATCAATAGGCCTATTAGATTCGGAAAAATTATTCCATGTTGCAGCCTCATCGCAAAGTTCGAGGTCTTGTTTTAAGATAGTTAATCCTGCCTCTCTGATTGAATCAAATAATTTACAGTTACTGTAAATAAAAAATGGCGAATATCTTCAGTTTCACCTCTTTGGCTCAAGATACACTGACCAGTTATTTCTTTAGACCATTTACAGGTCCTGCCACCAACGGGTAATGTGTTGGACTTCTGGTTAATTTCGTTTTCCCACTCAACATTGTACGAGTCTGCAACATGTACATCTACAGCTCCAATAGAAAAATTATATAAATCAAAAAGATCTTTATATAAAGTTTAATATAGAGTATAGATACAGTGTACACTATACTATTATAACAAGAGTTGTGTAATGTGATTTTTTTTCATATCATATCATAACATGAAACAGAGTATAATTTTATAATTATTTTTATTGTATTTATCTGTATATAAAGTATTAAAATACAATTATAGATACAGTGTACATCGTACTAAAACAACCTGTTGAAACCCCTAATAATCACCGTACTTATTCGAATAAACGTCCCCTTGAATAAAATAATACTATAATAATAATGGTCTTGTGCTTATAGAATATTCTAGGCCTAAGTAACTTCAGTAAATACATTTTTTCTAACCTGATTGGGATCAATACCGTAAGTCATTATGATCACAACACATTTTAAAGGTAATAATGTGCTATACTGTTGTTCCAAATTTACAGTTAAATTAAGGGGTTTAATTTGAGTATATTCGTATCCATGTTATACTTCTCCCTCGAATAAACGCCCCCTCAAAAACACTTCTCAACAATAACCGCCCCAATGCGCTTTCGAATAAATATGCTTGGCCAAATCATCACACAAACTATATATCTCTATGATACATCAGCACAATCTCATTGTCCAACAAGGAACGTTTTCTTCGTTGATGGATGCGCCGCAATCTTGTGTCACTAGCAGGGCATGCAGGGTTCATAAACCCCCGTAGTAGGGTGGATCGTCGGACCAGAAAAAAATGTTCTAAACATTATATCTCAGAGCAACTTAAAATGGCACAAAAATCGACCAGTTTCTCAGTCCTAGGGCCACCGGCTCCGGGGCCCCATTGGTAGGCGGCTCCAGCGGGATCAAGGGGAAGATCCTTGGCGAATCGCCCACCTCTGGAAGCTACGGGCTTTTAACGGATTAGAGGAATAATTTAATCGATTATAGTGCTTAATTTCACCAGGTCATGAAAAATAAAGTATAAAAACATGAAAAGTAAAAGTTATCTTTCCTTTTACTCAAACGTAGAGCTGAATTAATATTTATAACATAGGCCTAGGTATCAAAGTTTACAGTCGCGGGTCCAGGAATTTGAAATAGACGGGGCCCATAAGACTTTCACAGATGGAGGGTGCATCTGCCTCAGCCTCAAAACCTACCATCGTTGGGGCTGAGGTAAGAAAATTTATGATTATGTCACCTCTGGACGGCTGATGGCACTCTTAGACTTAAATTTGAGTAAAATTTTCTTTTTTTCTAAATTTTTTTTTTAATTTTTAAAAATGCCTTCCCTTACATCCGCCACTGGTTTATTAATTCAGTATTTATTCGACAATCGAATCTCTATCAGGTCCACTCGTCTTTTCTAACTTGTATTATATTGACGCTGTCCAGGGCCAAGCCTTTGATAATTATAATAACGTAAAGAATTTACTATTTGATATGTAAAACAAGTTCTAGACAATGCCGTAGCCAGGATTTTTAAACGGTGTGGGAAAATATCAGGGTGGACCCACTTTACGCGTAAATTCAAATAATGTGGACCAATTTTCTTAAACGTTGTCCCATTATACGCAAAAACATGAATAATCTTGACCCATTTTCTTAAAAGTTTACCCATTTTACACAAAACATGAGAAATCTGGACCCAATTTTAAAACGTGGACTCATTCTTTGTGGACCCAATAGAAAAATTGTGTGGGAATGTCTCAATAGCTGGCTACGGCATTGAAACTAGAGTAGTAGAAGTCATGAAAATATTCATGAAAGAATTAGAAGCGACTAATTACGAGCTTTCATCGATAAAAGGTCAAGTTTATACACTTATCGTGGCAAAAACATATGAATGATACTGGATGAATGTATACGTATAATACGTTTTTGAAATTATTTATTTATTTTATTTTTTATCTAGGTTTTGCGGGCCCCTGCTGGGCTCGGGCCTTGGGTCACTTGCCCCGGCCAGGGGTGGCGCCAGGATTTGCCCGACGGGGGGGGGGGGGGGCCGCGGTCCCGACGAGGTGTCAGATTTCCTCGACAAAAGCAAAGTGGGCGTGGTCGAGCTTCGAATAAAAGGTTCAGAAAGTGGTCCTGGGGGCGAAGCCCCCGAAAATTTCGACAATTTAGGAGTTTCCAAGGCTTATTTAATCGATTTTAGAGTCTACTAATATGTAAAAAATACATACAGTATAATATTTTTCTCTCCCCGACAGGGTTCCCCCCGCTGGCCCCGGCCTCTCGGCACCACTGCTTATTTCCCACAGACTTCGCAAGGGCTTCCTTGAGCATTTTCCTCGGGGCCTGGCGGCACAGCTGGCGCGACTCTGCAGCGCAGAAAAGAAGATTGTCAGACCCTTCACAGTACTTATCCAGCCATTGACCACTACCGTGCCCAATAAAGAATTTTAAGCATGAATAGGAAAGAGATATAATAACAGAGAGGGATATCAGTGATACGTCGTTTTAATCACCTTCAGAATCGGAATACAATTAAAATATATACGAAAAATGCAAAACGAAACTGGAGAAACATAAAAAATTAAAATTTTGAATATCTCATTTAAAAGTTTATTAAAACTTCAAAAGTCATTAGTGACAACAGTCTAATGTTTTTTGCAGTACAGTAAAAGCATCCGTGGTGAGGTCTATCAGAAAAAAAGAGTGTATTATCCAATACACACAACATCCATCACATAAATTCACATATAAATACAGTAGGCCTTAAGACTAGTTTATATTGAGAAAGATTTTTCGACTTTACAGTTTATATCTTCAATTTATTATATTTCTTTCTATCGCGTTTGACCCAAAAACATCATCAATGTCATCCTCGGTGCTAGCTTCCTCTACAATTCTTAAATACCTACATCTCTTTAGATCTTCCCAGTCCTCATCACTCAACATGCTGCCTCCTGTTGTCGTTGGTCCTGGGCTACCTGTAGCCGATTTCATTACCGACCACACCCTTGCTTTTGGCTTATATACGCAACTTGTGTGAATAGGAGGCAAGATCATCGGTGGAAGCTGCAGGCCTAGTTTTTTCTTCGCCTTTGGTTCATGATGGATTCCTAAAACACTGCTTCTTGTCGAACATGCTTTCGACCGATAGGGAGTGTTTAGAGAGTAAACACGACTTACTTTCCTTTTCTTTTCGTCTTCTGTGCTCCAAAAGTTCGACGTTTCTGTATCGGAACAGACAGATTCTGCACATGTTCTATCTAGAAAGTCTTTAATCTTTCGTTGCGTTTCTTTCATGTTTTCCTCTTCTTCTGCGACGATTTGTGGTTTCTCAAAATCGTTCGGATAAAACAATGCCTCATTGAATTCAATCTGTGACAGACTATCATTACGTAGTCCGTCTGTAACATGTCCTTGAGACCGTCCGTGCTTGCCTATGAGAGGATGCTCTTGTTCAATATGGGCTCTCAATAACGCACGGGAATCTGAACGAGAATGAACGTTTGTTTCTGTTGGTTTGCTTAAAGTCAAAGGGGCATTAACAATAACCATTGGTTCGTTAAGATTCCCATTTATTTCAAATTTTCTCGTAGGTAAACAGTGTTGATGGTCATCAAGGCGGGCTTGATGTTGGGCTAAGCCTCTTTGCTTTGCTTTAGGTTGTAAACTATAAACAGTTGTTGAATCATGGTTTAAATTTTTGCAACGATTATTGCGAGCATATCGCTTGGATAGTTGAGGCTTTCTTAATCCATCTGTAGGCAATATCTGGTTCTTAGCAGGCGGTAGTGATGAAGACAAGCCCTTACTTTGCCGATATTTCGGTGTTTTTTTATTAAAACGATTGGCGTTCTCAAGTCGGTTTATCAATGGAAGCTGTTTCCGTTCTTCATCTTCGAAGTTGATACACGGAGGTCGCTTATCAATGAATGTTCGTTGCATCACCTTCATTGAAGTGGCGTAGGCACGAATTTCACGCTGAATGGCCAAAGCTCTTTTTTTAAATCTTTCCCTCTCCACAGAATTATTCGTTACAACATCACGAGAAGATGATTTTGTAGCTGTTGCTTCCAATTCAAGACTAGCCATACCTGTTCTGAAAATGTTTCCTTTAATAAAAGTTCATGAGATATCGTGCATCACGGGTTTCAGCCTATATGAATGGAATACTGCTGCGTATGTATACGATGGGTGAAATTGTACACCTCTCTTCACTGTAAAATATTTCGGACCGTCTATTTCATTTAGGAACATTGTAACTTATATTTTTTTCACATTATAATTCTAAATACCAACATCATAAGCAGCTTCTCAAACTACTGTATAATTAAAATGGCTAAAATGTAATTTTATATGCAAAGGTATTTATTATCACGAAATAACGTGCTTTGAATTAGTTTCACAATTAGACACCCCCAAAATAGAAAATGGAACATCCCGAGGAGTGTAGCGATTCAATTTGACATGTCAATTTAATAGGTTCGTAATATACATCATGTGTTTATAGATGTACAAAGTAGGAATTTAAAGTCAGCCGAGGTCCACTTTGGTCACGGCTATACAATAACACAATTATTGAGCTTGAGTAAGTTGATGAGGCCAAATATAAGGAGACGATAGATGACGCTATTTAGTTTGCAAATGTAACAGTTTCGTTTCAGAATTCCACCGTTAAAGTCGAGTAGCTACTCAAAAAGTTTCATCTACTGTATATATTTTAAATAGCTTAATAGCATGTTAAATGATCTGAATAACAATTTTTTGATTGATCTGTCATGACCTAAAGAAAATCTAAAAATTCAATTTCATATCTGAATTGCTTAATCTGTAGGCCTCTATTTTAGTAAGTTATTACGTCACAACAAAGTTTGAATGAGAACAAAATTTCCTCACCAAATAAAGGGCGATTTACACATACCCCATGGTAATAACTTTCCTGTATTGCATATTACCTTAAATTGACTGTTAATCAATTTAAGGACCATTTGTAGTAAAATCTCCGTAAATCAACGAAAACTATTTTTCGATCTGTCTCTCGTTGAAAGTAATGACTTTGACCCTAATGAGCCATTCAATTTTTTAGGATTTTCCTGATTTTGTTGACAGACTGTACAAATTTGACATATTGGATCTCTTTTTACATTAACATTTTATATTAACTTTTTGCAATAACATTTTGTTTTCTTATTTAGCAAATAGTTTTGCAAAAAAACATTCAGGTTTTACACAGTGTAGTAATGGGATGGTTAAATGATTTAATGCTTTATAAGAGTAGCAGTAGTAGTAAATCATATTGACACCTCTTGTAAAAGACCAATACTGCATTGACAGAAAATTAATTACAGATTTTATTATGAATTTCCTATAATGCAAAGACTACATACTTCCACATTATCAGTGTGTTCACATGTGTAGCAAACCACATTTGTAACACCAACATCGATCCAATGGATCGGGAAAAATGAAAGAAAATATTCAAATTCATGGTAAATGTTTATGCTCTATGTGCCACTTTCAGCCATACCTATAAAATTCCAAAACCTCAGCCCCCACCATGGTAGAGCTAAGGTAGATAGTATTTTGTTTCATGAATCCACACTAATAATATGCTTTAAAAAACGAGTAAAAATATCGGACAATCAATAATTTTGATATCTGTACCCAGATATTATTGCTGTATTTGTACGATGCAGTTGTGCATTTGTGCTGCATTATCTGTCATGTAAATTTTCTATGTGTATCTTCCCCCACTCACCACCAAAACCTCAGCCCCAACCATGCTAGGACCAAGACAGATGGTACAATATTTTGTTTCATGAATCCACTACTAATAATTATATGCTTAAAAAATTAGTAAAAATATCGGACAAGCAATACTTTTGATATCGGAGCCCAGATATTGCGACATATAAGTTCTGGAACAAAGTAGAAGTGTATTTGTGTAGCATTATCCATACTGACTATCATGAAAATGAAACTCACTATCAAAACCTCAGCTCTAACAATGGTAGGGCTAAGATAGATGGTATTTTATTTCATGAATCCACCAATAATAATCATATGCTTTAAAAATTGAGTAAATGTATTGGACAAGCAATATTTCGATATCTGAGCAATCCGGTATTGTGACTTAGAGGTTGTGGAATGATGCAGTAGTGCATTTGCGATATCCACGGTTGACTTTCATGAAATTGTTCTGAAAATGTATCCTTCCCCCATTCACTATCAATCTAACACAATAATGCTCCATTAATATGTCATGCTCGGGGAGCACCCTGTTTTGGCAACTGATACACATGAATAACCAATCACCAAAAATTGACATCCCAACATGTTTATTGATTGACAGCTGTCATGTCCTGTTACTATGCCATTTAATATTTGAAAAAACATCTAATCATTTCACATCTCATATCCAAGAGCATCTAAATTACTATCAAGTAATTCAATGGACGATTCTCTTAGCTTCTGTAGCAATTTCCTCAGTTCATCTTTATCAAAAACCTGAAAAAGAAAAACCATAAATGTTATAAACTTTTTCTAAAATTACCTCTGTGTATAATTTTCATATTATACTAATATCATGATTTTATATTTTATTCATAGAGTTTGTTGCCCTCTATTGATCGAAAAGCTATTGAACTAGTCTGCTACCCTCTCTAAGATCTATTCCTTTTTCCCCGTTTTTTTTTCACTGAAATCTGTTTTCAATCAGGATAGAGAATAAACACAGTGCATTGCATTTTCATTCTCGCAGCAGTCTCAAGTCTTCGCAAGTCTTGGGAGTCTCTCGGAAATTGGGCAGGCCTACCACACTCCCAGTGAGCAAACAAAAATCTCCTGGAAATCTCGCAAATTTACAATATTTTCATGTTTTTACTGTAAGGCGAGACTTCTTTTAGTCTTTGTTTCTTAAATTATTTTTTTAAAGATCATCGGAGGAGGGCGGAATAAAAATAAAATTTTGTTTTCTTATTTAGCAAATAGTTATGCCAAAAACATCCAGACGGAGGAGAAAATAAAAATAAAATTTTATTGGTGAGCGTAAAGTAGGATGGTTAAATGCTTCAAATTTATATAATTAGGAAGAAATATACATATCTTATCTTTAGAGATTTCAAGGCAGCGGAGGGCGTAATAAAAATGAAGAAAAACTTTTTATTTTCTTCTGAAATTTCCCCTTTTTCGTGGCGGCGGGTGTGCTAACAGACCAAAAATAAAATTTTATTTTTATTCGAAATCATCAATATTTGCAGTTGGCTAAACAAGGTATAAAAAAAGTCTTGCCTAATGTATTGTCATTGATCAATTGTCTACAGGAAGTCAGTGCCAATGAGTGTCACCATGCACAGCAAAATGAAATCATATGTGTTAACAAACGTCTTTAAACCATTCACCCGGAAGTGGCTTCTTCTAATTTGGGAGCTCTGTTCTTGTACCAATGAATTATTAAAATATGCAAATTCGAAACTTGAATGAGGGTTCCTTAACACAAGCAATTTGCATATAATTGAAACACAGATCATACATGAAATATGACTGATTTTGATACTCACGGTATACAGTTGCTGTTCTTCCGATGCAATGACATCAGCCAACATGATAGCCTGTTGGTACTGCCCTGTGGTGTGAAGAACAGACTGCAGAAGGAAACACAGCATCGGAATGCATATCTCCCTCAATCTTTCCAGCTGAGTTGCACGAGCGTTGTCAATGGAATCCTCCTATAAAACATTTACAATCAGTGTTTTCTGACAAAAACATGTAAAATGCCTAAATACGGTAATGATGACATCACATCATTCCCATATACTGTATACAACAGTGTTTTTTTGTCAAAGAAAATAGACCAATTCAGGAATGTTTGTTTAACTTGGGTGTACCGTGGAAAACATTACAGCACAAACAGTGTATAGGAAAAGGTAAATTATGTTATGGTTGCAAAAAACAACCCCACTCTGTTAACGTGAGAAATATATGGCAAGGGAAGTCAATATGATTGTGCAGTATAGTGTTTATTTACTTATCCTTACGTTCTCCTAGCATTGTATGCTTTGAAATCTAAGTGATCCTTCGTAAACCTTAGCTAGTCTTAAAATCGCAGGTCGAAGATTCTCGTGCATACCTAAACTGGCCGTAAATGTGCAGCGGCCTAGGCCTAACATTTGTCGAAAGATCTCAGTGTTTGCGGCTATTATCTTTTGGAGCATTAGCAAACCTTAAGGCAAAACTTTTAATTTAAATTCCCAATCAATTTGGTATAGTTTGCTGGGAATTATGATGACCTTTACAGCAATAACAAAGGACAGCCGCAATAGCAATCTCCATGTAAATACTGCTGTGCCAGTCCATTGTTTACATCCAACACCCAAGTTAGGTCACGCAACGCCCGTCACCGAATCGGACTATTGATAATCTGGACACAAGCTTTAGTTTGCAAAACAACAACAATAATAATAATAATAATAATAATAATAATAATAATAATAATAATAATAATAATAATAATTACTATTATTATTATTATTATTATTATCGTTATCATTATTATTATTTATTATAATTATTATTATTATTATTATTATTATTATCATTATTATTATTATCATCATCATCACAGGATATCATTTCTGTACTACAGTGTACCTGTACATGTATTTCAAAGCTCTTAATTTTTAAAGCAAAGCTATCTTACTGTGTGCTGGTCAACCATCCAGCCACCATCCGGGAAAAGGAGCACATTGTAAATGTTGTCAACAACTGCTTTTGTGTTGTTGTTTAATCCATGTTCCCATCTCTCTAATTCCATCTATAAAGCATAAATAAATTTTATTCAGTTTATTTTATCACATTATAATGATAATATACTAATTAACATAAAGGAAAACAGATTGTTTGATTTCATCACCTTGAATTCTTTCTCTTTATGTTCATGATGCACTTTCTGTTGGAATGTTGCTACTTCCTGAATGCTGGGCTCAACTGGTTTCCTATTGTGATAGTGTTCAAACCAATCGTTGAATGTATCTAATGCATTCTACGGAGAGATAAATGTAAAATGTCATTATGATTGAAAAACCTGGTTAAACTATTGCCAATATTTTAAGACATTTCCTGAAAAATAACTAGAACAGTCAGAATTTGGCATCCAACACATTAAGCAGAGTTCTTCTTTCCTCAATTTCATTAAATTGTCTTGCCATGTTCCTAATCTTTAACAAAATTGGCAATAATGACTTTGTCACAGGTTATAAAGAAATGACAGTAACAACGAATACGAATACAATCAACTTTATCACAATTTGCACACAGCAAAATATGAAATTGAAGTTCAACAAAAATTGACATAATGATTAATAAGAAGGGATAACACAAGATGAGGAAAACAAAAGAAAATCCTAATACATGTAAAAAAAAAAATTTAAAAAAAAGCTGTGTAACGATGGGGAGGGGGCTTTTGGGCTTTCTCAGACTGGGGCCTTTTTTGGTCACCAATTCCATTGTGGGATTTTAGGTATTTTTTTTTTAATCATGTGTTACGCCACTGAGCAGGAGCAAAAAGGACAATTGATAAAGTCAACATAGATTCACCATTACTTTACTTACTAGGTAAGCTTTGATACAAAGATATTCCTTGATGGCATTGTCGTCTTCTGTGGGAAGAGGAACTCTGCCAGCATGTCCTAACCAGTTCTTCAAAATGACATCGATAGTATCACCTGGAATCTTATGGAATACCTCTCTGGCGGCATCATGCTTCTTGATACCTGGTGAAATGAATGGGAGTTGTGAACAATTGATATGAGTTAAAAATTAATGTTTTAGACTTTCAAACTAAGGATCTGATGCTGCTGTGCGCAAGGTTTGAGCATGGTACAGTTCGCTCTCCAATTTGGGACCAACTTTGGGACCTGAAAATTTGGGGTGTTCTCGGGGTTCAGTTTCCACATAGAAGGTTAGCTTTGTGTTAATTAATAATAGATTAAAGATTTTTAATTTGGTTCTTTACAAAAGTGGTCTTGAATTAGAGGGTTCTCAAATTAGAGTGGTTTTGAGTTGGAGGGTGCACTGTACTTATCTATTATAATATATAACTTAAATATGGTAGATCAAAATCAGTTGCATTTGTATAAACGAGTAATAGAGATGTGTTAACATTTTTAATGGCTCTGTAAAGCACTAACCTAAGAATGTGCGCATGACAGCATTGCTCTGTTTCAGTGCTTCTGCTCTTTGAGATGGATCAAAAACCAACCAGTCAATGGCCTCAATTTTCTTCCTATCCTCCTGTAATAACACATCAGAAATAAATACTGTATTAGAAAATGTCAAGGACTGTATGCTAAAATTTTGAAATGTATTCTTATTAACACACTATAATTGCACACTTGGAAACACATATTTTTACAATTGCATTTCAGCCCTTCAGCTAAATCAGAGGGGGAGCAGCGATTGGAATTGAACCGAGTACCAAAGGTCAATAATGGATTTCTAAGGTTCAGAGCACACACACAATAGCAACCACCAGTTTAGCTGACTAAGCTATCCTGCAATTAGTATAGTAGATTTCCATGCACTATTGGAAAATTAGAGCCTGAATAATCCATTAGTGCATTAATAAAATTGCACAAAAATAATTTTCTAATGCAGACTATGATTTTAACCAGCGGGCCTGGCACTGGACAAGTTTGATTGCTTGTTGGTTTTACCTCTGACGTGGCAGCATCTAAGGCTGGGGTACTTTCTGTATCTGCATCGAATTCAGTGAGGTCTCGGTTGCGAATGTTCTCGACTACTGTCTTAGTGATCTTGGGAACATCCAAACCTGCATTAAAAATTTTCAACAAAATTATGGTAATTAAATTAAGTGTAATTACTATATTATATCACTGTTTAGTAGCATATCAAGATTGTTAGACATTTAATGAAAGGCAGTGTTTATTCAGTTTTTGACTTCTTTCCTTTAAAGCCAATTTATGATTGGTTTATATTCTTAAACACTGTTTAAAAAGGCTGCTTCTGACTAGTTAATTACCTGCATCTTCTGCAAGCTGCAGACAATATTTCCTTGTTTCCTTCTCATGAATTCCTGCAATGAAAGCAAATATAATTAGCTGAATGATTAATCAAATAATTGGTTATAGCTTGATTTATATATTGACTGGTTAAGTTACTGACTTGTTGTAATTGATTAACCCTTATTAATTTATTGATGGTTATATAAACATGGAAAGAGAAATTAATGCTTGATTGTTGTATTAATTAATTGATTGATTGATTGATTGATTGATCGATTGATTGATAGACTGGCTATAATTTATTTATTGAAATATTGATTGACTGGCTATGATTTATTTATAGAAATATTGCTTGATTGAATGATATATTTATTGCCTGATTATATATACAATTTTACCTTCAAGAAAGTGGGCATAGCAAGCAACCTGTAAAAACTCTGGAAGTTGAGCTGCATAGACAGACACTAGCTCTAAGTGTTTCACATCTACTAAATCCTGAAAAAACCCATAAACAAAAATTAAGTACATACAGCTATATAATGGAGTTGATGGTCCTGGGTTGAAACCCTGCTGTGGCATTGTTTCCTATGACTAAAATCAACTCCACTCCCTAAGCCTCATAAAGGGACTTAGTTTATATTCCATCCTGTAATTGGCAAGTTACTTAGTTTATAATGCATCATTCCATCCTGTAGTTTGGAGGTTACTTACTCTTGGATGTGAAAGATATAAAAAAAAAGTAGGCCTATAGTACATAATTAACCATAAGACAACAAATTAAGGTAAGCTGTAGCCTACATACCTTAACATAAGCTTCAATGATGGCTGTGCAAATTTCCTCTTTACTGTCAAGTCCAAGGGAACGGAAGAATAGTACTACATGCGCCATAAACCGCACTAGATGCTTAGACGGTCGATTCGCAACATCTTGTAACCACTCACCCATCTCCTCAATCAATGCTTTTTTTTTAATGAAAAATAAATACAATGGTTAAAAAGAAAAAATGTTTATATTATACCCTCATAACAAAAGTGCCTAAGTCATTTTTTGTAGTTTTGAGAAAAAGGCAAAAAACTGCATTAATCCTTTAAAAACAAATATTTATTCACTATTTTTGTACAAATACATATCAAAAGAAGCTAAATGGAATATAAATAATGTGGTGCAATATAATTATTACGTAACGGAATTAAGTGACTTAGGCAGAAATATCAATAATGGCATGTGACTTAGGCAGTTTTATAAATGACTTAACAAAAATGAATAACCTATTGTTGAAGTGGTATTTTATCGAACAATATAAAATAAACAGCAATGCAAAGTTTAATCAATAAGTACACATTCACAACACCCCCACTGTTAAAACCCCTCCCCTTTCCCAAACCCTCCCCCCACCACCACCAATTACAACAAAGACAAAAAATGTTTAATAACAAACAATTGAAGATTATGTACAATCATTGTTTAAACCAACTCGCATTCGCATTGCGATTTTGATAACCGCAACCATCGCTCCAGATGACAATTTCTTTTATTGTAGGGTTGGCGTCAATTACTTGGTGAAAGTGTGAATACTGCATAGATGCGAATACCTCACTGCTTAAATCTCCTTCATGTTCTTCCCATGTATAGCAGTAGCCTTCCTTACTTTTCAAATCATGTAAAATTGTGGACTTGCAATTTAGTTTTATAGTACATTGTACTAGCTTTTGTTCTGGGACATAACAGGACCGCTGTAAGTCCATAGTCCACATAGACACTTCATCATTAACTGCATCTTTGTCAGCAGCTTTTTCCTTTTTTGCTTGATCTTTAGCTAAAATAGGTGCCTCGTGTGTAGCAGCATGCTCGCGCTGACGCAAACATCACACTGATCTTTTCTTGGTATAAATACCGAAAGGTTCTCATCATTAAAAATTTGGCTAAAACGTGTTTGGCACACTGCTCGATAACCGGCACTCTCTGCATCCATTTTGTACTCTGGGTGGAGCTTGGCAAGTGTTGTGCCCGGGTATAAGAATTTCTTATTTCTATAAGTGGCAGTATTTCTACAATAGTGGGATGGCACAGATGGTAGATCAGCTAGCCACTTCTTAAGGTAGTCCATGTCTTTGCTTTCCACGTATGTAGTCTTGCCTGGAATAACAAACAGAAAGAACAGGTGTTTAGATTTTGAATAATAATGAAGAGATGCTGCCTGTATAGTACGGTACAATTTTTAAGGTTTCAGAAAAGTTGCATGCTATTTTTCATTTTACCTTTACAAGGCCTATGTGGATTTTCAACTTCTGAGGCATCATCGTTGTTGGTTAGCCAATCAGCAACAGTCCTCTGAGAAAGGCCAAGGGTTGATGCAAACATGGACTTGCAAACCTGGACAGATGTTCCATCCTGCAGCTGAAGTTTGTAGGAAAAAGAATACTTTCTTCTTGACTGATCTACAGGGATCTTTTTTTGTGTTATGTCAACCTGTAAAGAATAAAATAGAATTTTATTTGAGTAAATAATCTTTATCGCAATTCTGTATGATTAAAAATAATCTATTCTTTTTGTATTGTTTAAGTTACCTTGGACACTAATGTTCGGACGTAAAACGGCGTTCATTCCATGATTTCATGTCAAAAAAAATGTTGGAAGATCCAGCTCCGTTTATCCTCATCCAAAGATTGGTAATCTCTCAATTTGGATTTTCTACAGAAGTTAGAATTGCATGCATTTCCCGTCTTTTTTTCAGGTTTTTCAACTCCTCTTCTGTTTTTGTAAGCTTTTCCTTCCAGGCAGCCCTTTTTGTACACATTTTGGTTTCAAATGTGAGTTGATGGGCGTTTATGACGCTTCACAATCACCAGTACACCCTAAAAAAAATACAGTAATAATAATGAAATACTACAGGATGACAAAAGTAATGGAAGAAAGTAGCAAGTTAAAGTGTAAATACAGTAGTGTTAAATACCTAGCAATCACAATATTTTCATATTTAATTTTTTAATAAACACTCACAGTATTGTCATCCTCTCCGTCTTCTTGCTCTGGTTGGTCTTAATTATTGTCATCCTCTCCATCTGCCTGATCTGGTTGGTCTTAATTATTGTCATCCTCTCCATCTGCCTGATCTGGTTGGTCTTAATTATTGTCATCCTCTCCATCTGCCTGATCTGGTTGGTCTTAATTATTGTCATCCTCTCCATCTGCCTGATCTGGTTGGTCTTAATTATTGTCATCCTCTCCATCTGCCTGATCTGGTTGGTCTTAATTATTGTCATCCTCTCCATCTGCCTGATCTGGTTGGTCTTAATTATTGTCATCCTCTCCATCTGCCTGATCTGGTTGGTCTTAATTATTGTCATCCTCTCCATCTGCCTGATCTGGTTGGTCTTAATTATTGTCATCCTCTCCATCTGCCTGATCTGGTTGGTCTTAATTATTGTCATCCTCTCCATCTGCCTGATCTGGTTGGTCTTAATTATTGTCATCCTCTCCATCTGCCTGATCTGGTTGGTCTTAATTATTGTCATCCTCTCCATCTGCCTGATCTGGTTGGTCTTAATTATTGTCATCCTCTCCATCTGCCTGATCTGGTTGGTCTTAATTATTGTCATCCTCTCCATCTGCCTGATCTGGTTGGTCTTAATTATTGTCATCCTCTCCATCTGCCTGATCTGGTTGGTCTTAATTATTGTCATCCTCTCCATACTGCATAGATGCAAATACCTCACTGCTTAAATCTCCTTCATGTTCTTCCCATGTATAGCAGTAGCCTTCCTTACTTTTCAAATCATACAATGTAAAATTGTGAATTTAGTTTTTACATTTACATTGTACTAGCTTTTGTTCTGGGACATAATAGGACCGCCTGTAAGTCCATAGTCCACATGGACACTTCATCATTAGCTGCATCTTTGTCATCAGCTTTTTCCTTTTTTGCTTGATCTTTAGCTAAAATATGTGCCTTGTGTGTAGCGGCATGCTTCGCGCTGACGCAAACATTGCACTGATCTTTTCTTGGTATAAATACCAAAAAATTTCTCATCATTAAAAATTTGGCTAAAACGTGTTTGGCACACTGCTCGATAACCGGCACTCTCTGCATCCATTTTGTACTCTGGGTGGAGCTTGGCGAGTGTTGTGCCCGGGTATAAGAATTTCTTATTTCTATAAGTGGCAGTATTTCTACAATAGTGGGATGGCACAGATGGTAGATCAGCTAGCCACTTCTTAAGGTAGTCCATGTCTTTGCTTTCCACGTATGCAGTCTTGCCTGGAATAACAAACAGAAAGAACAGGTGTTTAGATTTTGAATAATAATGAAGAGATGCTGCCTGTATAGTACGGTACAATTTTTAAGGTTTCAGAAAAGTTGCATGCTATTTTTTTATTTTACCTTTACGATGCCTATGTGGATTTTCAACTTCTGGGGCATCATCGTTGTTGGTTAGCCAATCAGCAACAGTCCTCTGAGAAAGGCCAAGGGTTGATGCAAACATGGACTTGCAAACCTGAACAGATGTTCCATCCTGCAGCTGGAGTTTGTAGGAAAAAGAATACTTTCTTCTTGACTGATCTACAGGGATCTTTTTTTGTGTTATGTCAACCTGTAAAGAATAAAATAGAATTTTATTTGAGTAAATAATCTTTTTCGCAATTCTGTATGATTAAAAATAATCTATTCTTTTTGTATTGTTTAAGTTACCTTGGACACTAATGTTCGGACGTAAAACGGCGTTCATTCCATGATTTCATGTCAAAAAAAATGTTGGAAGATCCAGCTCCGTTTATCCTCATCCAAAGATTGGTAATCTCTCAATTTGGATTTTCTACAGAAGTTAGAATTGCATGCATTTCCCGTCTTTTTTTCAGGTTTTTCAACTCCTCTTCTGTTTTTGTAAGCTTTTCCTTCCAGGCAGCCCTTTTTGTACACATTTTGGTTTCAAATGTGAGTTGATGGGCGTTTATGACGCTTCACAATCACCAGTACACCCTAAAAAAAATACAGTAATAATAATGAAATACTACAGGATGACAAAAGTAATGGAAGAAAGTAGCAAGTTAAAGTGTAAATACAGTAGTGTTAAATACCTAGCAATCACAATATTTTCATATTTAATTTTTTAATAAACACTCACAGTATTGTCATCCTCTCCGTCTTCTTGCTCTGGTTGGTCTTAATTATTGTCATCCTCTCCATCTGCCTGATCTGGTTGGTCTTAATTATTGTCATCCTCTCCATCTGCCTGCTCTGGTTGGTCTTAATTATTTTCATCCTCTCGGTCTTCCTGCTCTGGTTGGTCTTCATTATTGTCATCTTCTCCATCTTGTTGCTCTGGTTGACCTAACTTAATTGGTACAACTGGATCAATTTATGCATGTTCATCACGCTCATCATGTCTCTCAACAATATATCAGATGCCGTTGTCTCACCATTAGGTTTACCATCAGGGACAAAGTCAGGGTCAAGATCTGAATCATCCGATTCTTAAAATAAAAAATCATTGCATTTTTAGTTGTAATTTCAAAATATTATAAAATATAAATAAAACAAAACTGTTTAAATACTAGTATAAGTATTATTATAGGCCTACTATTAATTATAGACCTCTGTCATAAAATATTCATTTTTATTTACTCACAAACCCCATAATATAAAGATAACTAAAGCCTAGGCTTACCTAACTACAACAGGCCTAGTCCTAGCCCACGCCGAGCCAGTCTTGGCTCAAATGCATTCAAGGCTAATAACGCCTGTACGCCCTACACTCACTGGAGTCTAGGCCCCCTGCGTTATGTTACTAGGACTAATTTTATTTACATTTTACACAATAATAAAATAATATTATCACCAAAGAATGAGGCTAGTTGTAATCTATAATGTATCATTAACAGCTTACCACTTGAATCAGACAAATGTCCAGCATAGCAAGAACGTCATTAATAGGGACTTTTCTTTGATGAGAATTTACCATGTGTGCCATTTTAACAGTGTGAAAATTGTCACACAACTGACTTAGGCAGAAACACAAAAAATCGGTCTGAGCATGTGCAAATGTATATCAATGACTTAGATAATATACAGAGGGCAGTATACTGATATAAGAAATGAGTTACGCAGAAAATCTCAAAACTTGAAAATAATGATTTAGGCACTTTTGTTATGAGGGTGTCGTCAGCAGCAGCATACTGCACATCAGTACTGTGATTAACTGGTACATGAACAATTCATTCCATGCAGATGATAATCAATGGTACAAACTGTCCAATACTCAGGCACACAGATGATAAAGCAGATTTTGGCTTTCGGTCTACGGTATGAATTGTCTATGCTTTCCTTTCATTATTAAGAATTTTTGCAATTAAAAAAATTCATTCATAATCAAATCTTACCATCAACTTCACCTAAAATTAAGTACTTCTGTATCATGTGGTATTTTTGTTTTGATTGCATCTCAATCTCCTGAAAGAATAGACATAACAGTAAGAGTTACAGAACATTAGATACGGTAGTAGTTTATTCTCTTCCTCTTATTTCAAGTTTCTGCTTTGAACAATATGATAATTTTGCTACTTTTGGTGGGGAATTGGGCATTCATAATGCATGTACTACATTATTTAACATGCATAAAATGCTGTCAAACAATGAATGCACTATTAAAACTTGCATTTCAGCCCTTCAGCTAAAAAACACAAGAACAATGATGGGAATTGACATGGGGCGGAGGTCATAAGGATTTCCATGGTTCTGTGCACACACAGTGGCACCACCAGTTAGCAATATGAGCGAAGCTGCACTGAATGTTGTTTGGTTTGTTAAATTAAAGCTGCTTTCTTGCAATCTGTTCTCTTTTCTGGGTGGCTCGAGCTGAAATATTCATCACTCCATTTTTGTTTATGTGAGCTTTCTATCCTGTGAATGGCTGAAATGTATTTACATCAACATTTAGAAGGCATTGTATATGAAAACATGGTGAAAGGCCCTGAATCAATGAAAGTAAGATAAAAATTTATAAAATATCTTACCTCACTTGGAAATGCCTGCAAATCTTGGAAGATTTTAGTGGTTGTTAATCTAAAAATAGATATTCAGATTCAAAATTCTTAGATAGTAAATTACAATACAAGTCTCCCTCCAATTAAAGACCACTATTGGTCTTTAGCAACTTTGGTCTCAAATTAGAATAATAAAGATTAAGACATTTGTGAATTTGGAACCAGAGAAAGGTGATCTTTAATTAGAAGGAGACTTGTATAATCAAATCTTTTCTTGTTATTACCAGATCAACATAATACTTAAAAGAAAGAATACAGAGCTTATGGGTGGGCACAGAAGTGAACCAACCATTATACTTTGTAAATAGAGTATGTGTCCTCATCAAATTTGGAGCATGATGCATTTTGATTATTTTTCAAATACGTATTACTGTATCATTAATAATTGATGATAGATATTTTTGTTATTATTAAATATTAAAATTGTTACTATTGCTGCTATTATTATTTTTACAATTACAAAATACAGTTATTATTGCATTAGATAAATAGTGACATATTATTATTATTATTATTTTATCAATTATCATTATTCAAAATAATTTCATACACTTTTTTTTTTTTTTTTTTTTTTTTTGCATAGCAATAAACAAAAATTAACACCTACAATTTATCAAAATAATTATCAGGAAGTGGTTCACATTCACAGCCTGGTTCTACATTCTCCCGGATTTCCTGCTCCACTTGTTGGTCCACCATTACCCGGAAGTACGCCCATAAGCAGTCATCCCAGGACCGGCAAACAGGGAGAACCTGGCAAACACGATGCAAATAAAAACATTAAAACATTATACACATTTTTGTACAAAAATAGTTAAGCATACAACCATACATGCATCGCTCCCCATTGCACTCACACAAGCAAGTATAGACAGAGGTCCCACCTAATCCCATTACACAAGGTCCTAAATCACTGAACTACCCCATCCCCATCCACCCTAGCTTTTTGTCCCCATCTCACTCACTCCACAAACATACAGTAAAGTCAATGGTATTCTTATAATGCATGACCATTTCAGTGACACCTCATATCAATCTCTTTACAAAAAATAAGTAATCTACCTCAGAAACACCAAGTTGGTGTCCAATGGCGAATAGTTTTGAACTATAGTTTAAGACTTAATGTAAATTGCCTAGAGACATTCTGTGAGCTATAAAGCGTATATATAAATAGTTTTATTATTATCATCAACATTATTACCTCTTTGAGGTTCCCGCTAAACACAGCTGCAATGGCTCGCTCATATGGGTGGAATCGCTCATCTTGGGACATGCGCCAGGCTGTTGCTTTCCAAATGTCTCGATTAGGGTTGCCCTCAATGCTTGCTATATTCCCTGAAGCTACTATGAAATATAAAAAAAAAAGAATGATCAAAATATTGCAATAAGATAACATGGGATTTACCTCATCAACCAAAAAAATTGAATGGTTTAGATAACTAAGTGCATTAGTTTTTTGTGACAATTATTTTTGAATTGCCCATAATTATATGAGCATGATGATGTTCATAAACACCCATATATGAGCATGATGTTGTTCACATAACACCCATATATGAGCATGATGATGTCTATATAACACCCATATATAGGCATGATGATGTCCACATAATATCCATATATGGGCATGTTAATGTCAGATACCACCAAGGCATTATGATGTCATATCATATCCAAATATGGGCAAAGCACACGTATGTGACACAGAGCTTTAGTTGTGAGAAAAGTTTTGAAATTTGCAGGATTTTAACCCAGATTTTGGGATTGGAAGTTGGAGTTGGGGGGGGGGGTCAATGACAACCAATCAAATTATATTTTTACTTAGTTATTAACTTTCACTAGATGCTCTTCTCATGGAAAACCAACCAAATAAAAAAAAAATTAAAACCTTACATGCTTTCATATTGGAATCATGATATAGTTTCCAGCCCTCTAAGGTTGCCGCTCTCCAAGCCTGACCGCACTTCTTACACAGCCTCTGAGCATCCTCAAGCTGGCCAGCTCTTATCTTAGCAAAGAGGTTTTTAAGCAGCCTTGCCTCATCCTCCTAAAATGAGAACCATGTACTCCTTATTGGCATAATATTTGGATTGCAACCTCTATACAATACCTGCATTAAAATACTTGAATATACCTGTATCAACAATATCAATACCCTACATAAGAATACAGTCTGTCATTAAAAAAAATGGTTACTAACAAAATCAAAAGCGTTACTAACATCCAAAGATAAAAAGATTAATAATTTAGACTTTTTACTATGAAAATCTATAAGGAATACAGCAAATATAATGTTTGTAATTGGAGGTTTTTCTGATTTTAATTTCTAATTGAAAGCTAACATAAAATGTACAGAATAATGAATTCTAATTTACATAGTTCCAAGCAATGTTCTATGAGGCTGTTAACTATTACAATTATTTTTAACAACAAAAATATTTGACATACATTAAAATTCTTTAATGTAACCTGCATTATTTTTCATAGTGAACTAACACCTGCATTTTCATTCATATTATAGTAACACCTGTGTGATTATTCATAATGCAATGAGATGCTATATTCATACCCTGTCTAGTTCTGCAAGAGGTTTATTCTCTCTGATGGGGGCATCAGGATCCATTTGTGATACAAGATTTCGGTCTGACCTTGATACACCTGCAGTTTTTTGCTGAAGAGAATGCAAAGTGTTTTCCCTAGAAAGAAAGTAAATATATAATTCAATTACAAGCTAAAATATAGGACAGTCAAAATACATTATATTTGAACACTTTCTAATACCAAGTAACAACTCACCTACAAGCAAGCCTATCTACAAGGAAGTATTTTGATTGCAAATTATATTGAGTTAAGGTAAATGTATACCTCTTTACTGTTATTATTATTGTTACAATTAGTATTACAGTAAAACTCCTAATAACTTAACTAAATTGCAATACTGTAATAAAATTATTATTATTATTATTATTATTATTATTATTACCAATATATTATTATAATTATATAAATTGATGACAATATTAAATAATAATCATTACCATTTGGGTACAAAATGAGCAGGAAACACCAAAGATTGTTTGGACAAAATGAAAACATCATGAGGAGTGTAAATTCCACATTTGATGACATAAATAATAAATATCATTATAATACATAATAATCAATTATACTTACCAACAAACTGACTGAGAGTAAAATTCAACATTCTCATAGTAATCTTGTATTTGGTCAACAGCATTCCTTTCCAACCAATCAACGACGATTTGACTCTGGCGCAGGGATGAATTTCTAGCAAACAGCGAATTTGAAATCTCTTGCTCTGACTTCCTTAATATCTATTACATGGTAACAAAATTAATACCATCATTATCCATACAAAGAGTACAATAACAATGGGGATAAAATAACATTCTATCTGGTAAGTAGAAGGTACTGCATGCATGTATTATAGCAATAGCTTATCATCAGAATGATCTATATGCATAAAATTATAGCAATCCATTAGCCATTAGAACATACTATATGCACAACAATATATTGCAGTCAGTTATTACTATTATCATCCACACTATCCTGATTTAAGTGACAAATTTGTGTTAATTGCCCACATATTGCAACAGCAGCAGCAGCAGCAGCAACAATAATAATAATAATTTGTGTTAATTGCCCATATATTGCCTCAATAATAATAATAACAATAATAATAATAATAATAATTTGTGTTAATTGCCCATATATTGCCTCAATAATAATAATAACAATAATAATAATAATAATAATAATAATAATAATAATAATAATAATAATAATAATAATAATAATAATAATAATAATAATGTGTTAATTGCCTCAATAAAAATGAGATGACCATAAGGCCAAACAAAAAAAAATCTTATGTTGGCCATATTTTGGGAAAATAAAAAAATAAATGGGTAGTCAGTAGGAAAAATTCTTTTTTTTTTTAACCAATAAAGTATTTATGCTTAAAAAATAGAAAACTACAGCAAAGACCATTTTTAAATGTATATTGAAGAGTAAAGCGATCGCATAACAGTATCGCATCGCCCACCGTCGCAAAATAGGCCCATCAGCTCATTAAAAAAAAAAAATAATATAAAAATAAAATGCCGACCCCTCAATTTCGAACATTTAGGGTCGGTTGGGCGTGGCCAACACAATATTTTTTTTAATTTGGCCTAATGCTGATTTGATTAATCTGTTAACATTTTTGATTGACGGGCTAATAACCTACATCCATTCCAGTGTCCATGTTCTCTTCATCTTCCATATATTGTTGCCGGTCTTGATACAATGAGCCTAACAATCTCCAAGTGCACTTCTCCTGGTCCAGCAGATTTAATACTTCAACTGTCTTTGAAAATCTGTAGTGAAATAAAGAAATTTAAAACTGACTGACTAAAACACACCATTTGCCTTTCAAATTAGTGCTAGCGGCCTCTATAAAGATGACAGATCTTAAGAAATGGATAACTTTCGTCTCACAGTGACATTCAGAGTATAATAGGAAACCGCACACTTTGCTGCTTGATATGAAATCTCGAGGACATTTTTATACCTTCACATTTACATTGGAATGCATAAGTTTGTTATTATTTTAATGCATTGTTTAAAATAAAGTAATTAATTAATAGCATTTTCATTTTCAAAGGAAACATGGTTTTTTTATCCACATATATCTTTGATTATTATATTTTTACAAGAACACGAAGGGGAGTTAAATGGTTTGTAGTTAGCTGACCAGGATATACTTGGAGGCCCCTATAAGAACAATAACATATTTCAGTTGATATTTTTATTAAACAGATTATTACTTTACAGCCAACTCACTTGTTCTGTCCTGGGTTAGCCTTCTTTACCAGCTTGTTAAGCATGGTTACTTGTTCTGAGCAAAGCTTCTCGTATTCTGCCACCAGCCTAAACACATCGGTTGGTGAGGAAAACATTCTGAAACTCTTCATAAAGTCTTCAAAAAGTCCAGCAGTAGCTGCAAAAAAACATACCTCTATATGTTGGTACATTTTCAAGCTTAGTATCATATTCTTCCTGACATCAACTGCACGGCATGATGTCTCATAACCTAAACATAATATTTGTCTAGTCCTCTGTGATAGCCTTGCCAATTAATCACTATGTTTACCTTTGTACTGTTGATTATTTATCTGCTTATTTAACTAATTGATAACATATCTTTTCTGTATTACTTTTTTTATATTGTATTTGTACCTGAAAGTAAAATTTAAAGTGAACCATGTGTTTCTTGCTTTTCAAGTACAATCATTTTTAAAAAATGGTCATGAAAGTGAAGAATAAATAGCATAATAAAACACAACAACTATCTTGAATCTTGTGTAACACTCTCCGAAAGCCCTGCCAGTATGATACCCTGTAGCAAATGTTTAAACCTGACCAATTAAGGTTGTTTTTCACAATATAATAACTTCTTTTAAAATAATTTTATTTACTGTTGAAAAATCTTAATCCTGATTGTAAACTTTAAATCAGGATTTTAAAATTTTAATCAAATTTAGTTATGTTAGTTCATCAATTTTTACCTGGTAATGTAAGATTAATGTTTCATTTTTTTGCATCTGTTTTATTTGATGATGGAGTAAGAGTAGTTTTCTGTTTGGGTTTATACCTATTCCTTTCTCCTGGCAAGTCTATACTTTGCCAAATAAACATTATAATTATTAATATTATAATGCTCTGCAATAAAGAATTTGATGTATGTATGCCCAGACACTAACACCTTACCACTCATCCCTGGATCATCCTCCAGTAATAGGTTGACATTGGTCAATGTGACATCTTCAGTCATCGCACCAGGTGTCATGGACTCCAGTGATGTTGTTGGTGGTCGTAGTGGCGTCACAAGGAGAGAAGCAGCAAGCCTTGTCTGGTCTGCAACTGACATGTTGCCCTGTAAATACAGACTGATTTAGTAAAGTGCACCCTCCAATTAGATTAATTTCCGAGACCCCTCTAATTCGAAACCACTTTTTTAAAGAACCAAATAGCAATCTTCAATCTTTGAACACAAAACTAATCTTCTAATTGGAGACAACCCCAAATTATCAGATACCAAATCGGAGAGCGAACTGTAATTCTTCTGTAATACACACTAAGCTCAGTGGCCACTTGAAATCAATGTTGGCTGTTCGCGAGTCTTTTTTATTTATTTTTTTTAGTACAATAAACCTTGATTTTAGGGTTCATACCTGACCATCACTGAAACCCTAATTTGCCTGGTAAAAATAATAGTGCCATACCAATGCGGTGGTTGGGAGTATTAGAATATGCTGGTTTATTTATCCTTTGACTAACTATTATTTTTAAAAATTATATTTTTATGTATAAATTATATTTTTATGTATTTGCTGTTGGGTTTTGTGCATTTGGAGAGCGTGTCGTGTTAGAGGTGCTCGCACCTGTTGATACACTCTCTCAACACACTACACACAATAAAAAACATAGGAAATAGCAAAAGTGATTACAATAGTTCCTATTGCATTACATGCATAGGAACTAAAAATGGGTAGTCAGTAGGAAAAGTTCTTTTTTTTTTAACCAATGAATTATTTATGCTTAAAAAAAAAAAAACTACAACAAAGACCATTTTTAAATCTATATTGAAGAGTAAAGCGATCGCATAACACTATCACATCGCCCACCGTTGTGAGATAGGCCCATTCTAGCCTTGTTAGCTCATTAAAAAAAAAAAATAAAATAAAAATAAAATGCCGACCCTCAATTTCAAACATTTAGTGTCGGTTGGGCGTGGCCAACACAATAATTTTTTTTATTTGGCCTAATGCAGATTTGATTGATTTGTTAACATTTTTGATTGACGGACTAATAACCTACATCCATTCCAGTGTCCATGTTCTCTTCATCTTCCATATATTGTTGCCGATCTTGATACAATGAGCCTAACAATCTCCAAGTGCACTTCTCCTGGTCCAGCAGATTTAATACTTCAACTGTCTTTGAAAATCTGTAGTGAAATAAAGAAATTTAAAACTGACTGACTAAAACAAACTATTTGCTTTTCAAATTAGCGCTAGCGGCCTCTATAAAGATTACAGATCTTAAGAAATGGATAACTTTCGTCTCACAGTGACACTCAGAGTATAATAGGAAATCGCACACTTTGCTGCTTGATATGAAAACTCGAGGACATTTTTATACCTTCAAATTTACATTGGAATGTATAAGTTTGTTATTATTTTAATGCATTGTTTAAAATAAAGTAATTAATTAATAGCATTATCGTTTTCAAAGGAAACATGGTTTTTTATCCACATACATCTTTGATTATTATATTTTTACAAGAACACGAAGGGGAGTTAAATGGTTTGTAGTTAGCTGACCAGGATATTCTTGGAGGCCCCTATAAGAACAATAAAATATTTTAGTTTATATTTTTATTAAACAGATTATTACTTTACAGCCAACTCACTTGTTCTGTCCAGGGTTAGCCTTCTTTACCAGCTTGTTAAGCATGGTTACTTGTTCTGAGCAAAGCTTCTCGTATTCTGCCACCAGCCTAAACACATCGGTTGGTGAGGAAAACATTCTGAAACTCTTCATAAAGTCTTCAAAAAGTCCAGCAGTAGCTGCAAAAAAACATACCTCTATATGTTGGTACATTTTCAAGCTTAGTATCATATTCTTCCTGACATCAACTGCACGGCATGATGTCTCATAACCTAAACATAATATTTGTCTAGTCCTCTGTGATAGCCTTGCCAATTAATCACTATGTTTACCTTTGTACTGTTGATTATTTATCTGCTTATTTAACTAATTGATAACATATCTTTTCTGTATTACTTTTTTTATATTGTATTTGTACCTGAAAGTAAAATTTAAAGTGAACCATGTGTTTCTTGCTTTTCAAGTACAATCATTTTTAAAAAATGGTCATGAAAGTGAAGAATAAATAGCATAATAAAACACAACAACTATCTTGAATCTTGTGTAACACTCTCCGAAAGCCCTGCCAGTATGATACCCTGTAGCAAATGTTTAAACCTGACCAATTAAGGTTGTTTTTCACAATATAATAACTTCTTTTAAAATAATTTTATTTACTGTTGAAAAATCTTAATCCTGATTGTAAACTTTAAATCAGGATTTTAAAATTTTAATCAAATTTAGTTATGTTAGTTCATCAATTTTTACCTGGTAATGTAAGATTAATGTTTCATTTTTTTGCATCTGTTTTATTTGATGATGGAGTAAGAGTAGTTTTCTGTTTGGGTTTATACCTATTCCTTTCTCCTGGCAAGTCTATACTTTGCCAAATAAACATTATAATTATTAATATTATAATGCTCTGCAATAAAGAATTTGATGTATGTATGCCCAGACACTAACACCTTACCACTCATCCCTGGATCATCCTCCAGTAATAGGTTGACATTGGTCAATGTGACATCTTCAGTCATCGCACCAGGTGTCATGGACTCCAGTGATGTTGTCGGTGGTCGTAGTGGTGTCACCAGGAGAGAAGCAGCAAGCCTTGTCTGGTCTGCAACTGACATGTTGCCCTGTAAATACAGACTGATTTAGTAAAGTGCACCCTCCAATTAGATTAATTTCCGAGACCCCTCTAATTCGAAACCACTTTTTTAAAGAACCAAATAGCAATCTTCAATCTTTGAACACAAAACTAATCTTCTAATTGGAGACAACCCCAAATTATCAGATACCAAATCGGAGAGCGAACTGTAATTCTTCTGTAATACACACTAAGCTCAGTGGCCACTTGAAATCAATGTTGGCTGTTCGCGAGTCTTTTTTATTTATTTTTTTTAGTACAATAAACCTTGATTTTAGGGTTCATACCTGACCATCACTGAAACCCTAATTTGCCTGGTAAAAATAATAGTGCCATACCAATGCGGTGGTTGGGAGTATTAGAATATGCTAGTTTATTTATCCTTTGACTAACTCAGACATCATTTTGCCAGAGTAACTTTTAAAAGCATTGGTACTTACTAAACCCATAGGGTCTGGAGTAGAGGGTGTCTTTAACCTCCTTGGAGTGTGGCTTAAGATACCTGTTACATCATATTGAGAGGGGATCGGTAATTTATTTGGTGTATCTAAGAAAAAAATAAGAAAAAAAAATTAAGGACAATCATACAGAAATTAGTAACAGATCTGAAAATAAAAATAATAGTTTAATTATTACGCTATTGTATAATATAATATTATAAAATATCTATGTAGTGTACCGCAAGCATTAAATATTGGCTAGTATAAATATTGTTGAAAAATCAATACTTGAGTACATAATGTAATGACAAAATTCAATCCCACTATCATTAATATTAATAGATAAGTTTAGTGTTTGTGCTTCTCACATGTACTATACTTGAGTGCTGAGCTTGGCGTAGCTGGCACACCAAGGCCTGGGGTAGCGGCTTGGTCTAGCAACCCCATAGCTAACACAGAAAATTAAGGAAAAGTATTAGTAAAAATAAAATTATAAGAGAAAGATCAGTGGTGGCTGTAGGATTTTTACATCCAGCTTAGGTGGGTGGGAAAAACTGTCAGGAAGGGCAAAAACTGTCAGGCAGGGAAAAATCTGTCAGACAAGGGATCTGACAATCCCTTGTCCAAGAGGATAAACACACTGATACATAGAGAAACTGACAATTTTCAGCCATATTAGTTGTTCTGATTAATTTACTGTACTACTACATATTATGCCCAAAGAATTAAAAAGAAATAACAATTTTTCTTGTCTTCAGTTCTACCAGTTGTGGCTGATGGGAAGCCTCAGCTACCTGATGCCTTTCATCTACTTCACTCACCCCTTGTTGAGAATGAAATTAAAGAAATAATTATGAATATTTTTTCTGAATACAACATTTTACTCAAAGGATACATCGTCGAATTCGTTCACTATGGTTTTTCTGCCCTCTGAGAAAACTGCTTCCTTTGGCATTCTTAGATATTGAACGGGGAATAGGTGAATTTTCAGCCACACCAAAGGAAAGTGATCTGTGTATGCAAAAACAAAGCAACAACAAATGTTAGTATTTTCATGCTCTCTGGTCAGTAATATGGAATCTATTTAAATTATTTATCTACATGAAATGCAAACTTTTAACTTATTGCACCAATTCCTAACATAAAATAAATGTTTAAAAGTGAATTTTCAACCACCTGAAAGGAAAATAATCTGTTAAACAAAGAAATTAAAAGAAAAAAATTATTATTAATAATTTCATGTGTTCCAACAGTCAGAAAAAATAATAAATTAATTTCTATTAGCTCTATGATGTATTTAAATGAATTGCACAACTTTTATTACTAAATTAAAATGAGTTATTAAATATATGGTTCTTTTAATAAGGTGGTTTTATACCTGTTGTAGTCTTCATGCCTATCAGTTTTCTCATTCATGTTGCCTGAAATATACTTCTGCTGTGTCTGGGGATCAAAAAAAAAAAAAATTAAATCTGGGTTAGGGCCCTAGATGTGAATGTATGTTGGCATACATACTATAGTAATACTATTGTAATAGGCTTCAAACGTAAAACTAATCTTATGCTAAAATTAAAAAATAATTTGGTCACAACCAAATCAATTATTAGTACCAAAAATCACTAAATTAGCCATTTTTGGCAGTCAGGGGTTCTTTTCTGAAAATTCTTGACATAATTTGGGAGACTGGAGACTTAGATTGCATAAAAATTTCGGGAGACTCCCGATTGAATCAGGAGGGATGGAACGTATCTGACGAGTAACGCCTTCATAAATCAATCATTTTACAATGTTATGAGGGGTTTGTTTCTGTACCTAGCCCCCAGCATGGATTAAAAAGACAGCAGCATGAACCAACCACCATCACCACAACAAAGTGTTGGCTATGTCACCCATAGTTGGCAGGCCTGTACCCAAGTATTGTTAAGATCTACCTAGTATTTCAAACACTATGTAAAAAGCATTATCTAATTTGATAGTATTAGTAATCATGTTAAACTATATAATTAAAAACAAACTTACTAATAGGAAGACTTTTGATACAGCAGGAATTAAATTTATACATTTATGATTGAGGCTTTGAAACATTAATGAGGAGGTGCTATTAATAACATTAGTTAATAGTATTGAGTAGTGTCAGAGCCATATACAGTATGGGCACTTAAGTTTAGTGCAGTTTGTGCAAATTAAGATTTCAAAAATTAGATTTTGTTTTGATAAACAACAGTATTGTCGGAAGTATATTGGATTTACACCTTATTATTACGCCAAAATATTTACAAAAATGCATGGATATGAGTTATGTAAGCCACAATGTATGGGTTCGCAATACAGGTTCTCCAAATTTGGTATGAATTGGCATGGGTACTACAAGTATAAGCTGACAACCCACACACGCATATGTGCGAACCCAGAAGAAAAACACACACACACACACACAGAAAACAACACTTTTTTTTTTATAAGAACCAGTAAAATTTTGCCCAGACTCAGCAATCTTAATTTTTTGCCAATTTCTGCCTAGCCACTACTCTATAAGGAATGGGAATACCTTCGGTTTTGGCCATGAACCAGTTAGGCTGCGACATATTTAACATCTGGAAAATCAGAAAATTAACTCTGTTTTGCTTGTCTTTTATTAAAATATACATTATTTTACCCTTACTTTATAAACAAATAGGCTTATCCTATCAGTTCCAAAGAGAATTTATGTTTGTTAAACATAAAACTACACTCCTTTCTTGTATTGTTATGCCTTGCCTACAGGCTTGTCAAATTTACTTTATAAATAAAACATGTTGTCTCTGTTAAGTCAATGCATATTTATTATATATTATAATTAACAGGTATTGGATATAATTTAGTCATTCAATTAATCGAATTGACTCAAAACATACAATCAAAAATGTGTTCCATGCATCGTGGCTGAACTTGCTTGCAGCCGAAACAGTCCTACCCTCTATAAGCAACTCTCCGCTCACTATCTATAGTATCTACTCTAGTCTACCTAGGTCCTAAGCTTGTCTTAAACAACAGGCCCCATACTGTAAAGTATTTCATTGCGCCGATGATACCTCAAAAACCATCTCAAATTTGTGCAAAAAATCACTAGGAAAATAGGTTCGCAGAATCGTAATTACTGCATAATACAGTCCGTCGACAAAGCATTATGGTAGTCGTTCTTTCTCTTGGGCTTCTGTCTTTCTTTGGAATGCTCTGCCTATTACAATCCGACAGGCAACTTCCATTGATGATTTTAAGGCAGCTTTAAAAACTCACCTTTTTAACTTGTATTTTTCTTAATTTTTTTTCCCCCGAATTTTATTTTTACTGTTAAGCGCATTGAGGCTTTAGCATAATGCGCTATATAAGCCAAAATTATTATTATTATTATTATTATTTATTTATAAATATAGGCCTATTAGGTCAAAGCTTATAATTTTTGGCAAAATATGAAACGAATTTGGCCCTTATTTTTCCCAAAAAAAAAAAAAATTTCCATACAAATTTTTGCACGGATAGGCTTTACCTTACAGTTTTGTAGAGGCCCAACAGTCATATCCATTCCTTTATAAAATCTGGGGTAAAAAAAAAAAAGGAATAATAAAAGAGGGCTTAATTAACGCAACCAAGCAAAGCAAGAGAAGGAGGTATTTTTATATACTAGGCCTACTACCTCATTGACTCAACCGACCGATGATGCAAAGAAGGCCTACCTTTCCTCTTTCTTCTTTTTTGCTTTAGGTTTTAGTTAAGCCTAGGCCTAAAATAGGATATTTATAAGCCCCCGCGCCATGCCTAGGGCAGCTAGGCCTAGGCCTCTCTCTTGGCTAGCTAAGCCTAGCCTATCCTAGGCCCTTAACGGAGCCCTAGCCTAGGCCTAGACATGCATCAAATAAATATAATCACTTAGAGGAATATGTCAATAAAATTATTCTAAACCTTCCATATATTCGTCAAGGATGTTTCCCCTTGTTCAAAAAATGAACTAGACAAACGGTTAGGTCGTTCTTCTACGACGTTCATATCATCATCCCTCTTCGCGCCGTGACTAGGCCTATCAACAAAGCTACCGTGGGATGCCATTTTTAATTATATAGGTATGGAACGCCAGGAAGGAAGCTCATCATCTCAATGCAGTCATCCATGGGTGTTGTTCTCTGAGCAAGCTGCGTGCTCAAGCGTATCTATTTACGTTATACAGTAGGCCTACATTAAAACCTCGAATTTAAGCGCTTCTTTTCAAGATGGGCTTCTTTTCCAGGCTACTATTGCAAGGTAAAGAGTGGACTTCTTTTCAAAATGAATGCTGTAAATTTTGTGAATTTGTACTATAAAATGCATATAATTTCAGAAAAACAAGAAGACTAGACATTCCTTTTGCAAGACTTACAAAGACTCAATTTTTTGTTAAATTCTATGGTCCTAAATTATAGAACGAAATTACAGATGAAATCAATAGCTGCAATAATTTACTTTTATTCAGAAAAACTTTAAAAAAAGAATATCTTTCAAATTATGCAGATATAATTTAAATCACATGTTCTATACCGTTCATTTGACAAAATTTTAAATTAAGAGAAACATAATCTGATACGAGATACATTTTTGCATGTTTATTTATATATTTATTTAACAAATGTTATTTTATATATATTACATTCTCTTTTGTTAAGGGATCATTTAAAGAAGTTTTAAATTTCTAATCTGATTCCTAAATCGTAATTTATAGCTATTAATTGTTTACTTTCACATATTTCGATTTGAATAAATGTTACTGAAGAAGAAGAAAACAATAAATACGGCCACTGGAACATACTGTATCATGGAGTGTATTTAACTGCCATTAAATGACCTAAACTGCTGTATAAACCAAGCTTATTTTTAATATTTTTTTTTAATGCATGTTCAGTGTATATACCTGTCTCTTATACACATCTAGATGTGTATAAGAGACAAGCATACATACTATAGTAATACTATTGTAATAGGCTTCAAACGTAAAACTAATCTTATGCTAAAAAGCCCACTGGGCTTCAATTTGAGGTTTTACTGTATACGGTTATGCCTTTTATTATTAAAGTTTAATAATTGTTTTAATGAAATTGTTTAAACAACACGCAATTACAGACGAAGCAACTTGCATAATATGATTAATAATAGAGATGTGATAATAGCTAGTAATAATCATGATAACAATAAGATAATTATGAAAATACTATAATAATTGTGGGAGAACGTGACTCAGTCAGACACAAATGAGTTATTCTTGGCTTTTTGTATTGTAAAAATGATGCTTTATTCACGTCAAAATATATCCGCAAACAAAACACGCAATAGTGTATCGATACGTAACAGATGGACAAAGTTACAGCTAAAACAGTTGATCACGACGACTACATCGATTACAATGCTTGACATGGATTACAACAGTTACAACAATTGCATCAATTACAAGGCTTACAGCTATTACAGCTATTACAACTATTACACACAAACACAATTCAAACCCTGAAATCAAAACAAATACATATTACAGTATTTTAACTAACGAATTACAAACGATACATTTTGCCAATAACAGGCCTAAGCACGGCCTAAAATCAGTACCGTAACATGCCTATTCATAAAAATTAATTAATGTATAGTTATATGATAAAAAATAACAATCAGTATAATCACATTCATAAATGTACATTCATTAACATCATTAATAAACTTAATATTATATTCGTATATTATTATCATTACAACAATTAATAAACTTACCCTTGGCCAATTAAACTCATAACAGGTTAGCAATAACAGGTTAGCAATATCAGGTTAGCAATAACAGGTTAGCAATATCAGGTTAGCAAATCAACTTCACTACCCGGAATAACATGAGCTTACGCTTGGTAAACACTAACTGAATTAAAGTTTACTAGAACAAACATATTTGAATAGAGCCATAAAAGCCTACGTACGCGATCAATAGAAGTACGTACTTCGGTCGTACGCGTCAATTAAACTCATAACAGGTTAGCAATAACAGGTTAGCAATATCAGGTTAGCAATAACAGGTTAGCAATAACAGGTTAGCAATATCAGGTTAGCAAATCAACTTCAGTACCAATAACATGAGCTTACGCTTGGTAAACGCTAACTGAATTACTAGAATTTACTAGAACAAACATATTGGAATAGAGCCATATAGGCCTACGTACGCGATCAATAGAAGTATGTACTTCGGTTGTACGCGTACGTACTTCGGTGGTAATTGTCGCTATAACTACGGTCATTACGTAATAGGCACAAACCCTTAATACTGTACTAAAATACAACAATAATTTTAATAATAACAATTATATTAGTAACAATAATATTAATAACAACAAGAAGAACAATAATAATAATTATACAAATAATAATAATGATAATAATTTAATAATAAATAATAATTAGGCCTAAATAATAATAATAATAATAATAATAATAATAATAATATTGCAGTGAATTGCCTTAAATAACAATAACGATAAAAGTCAATAATTACAGATGACACAACATAGGCCTACATTATGATTAATAATAGTGATGTTATGATAGCTAGTAATAATGATGATAATAATATAATAATATCAACAATACTAATAATAATAATTCAACAACAATTCAACAAACATTTATTCCATTCAAAAGTCAAACATGTACAATATAAAACAGAGGTAAGGACTAGCCTAGAAGTTAAATTGTCTCCGCTAGCCCTGGAACCTGATTTACAATAACAAAAAATAATAATAAGAGGCAGAAGTAGAACCAAAACAATAAAACTTAAATGACTCGATAACTATATATATTTATATATAAAGTGTTTCTTTATTTCCCTCTTGAATTTGTTAATATCTTTAATTTCTGTTATATTTCTGGGAAGCTTATTCCATTGGATGGGACCTTGACGTGGCTAACAAAAAATTGAGTTTTAGTAAGTTTTGAGAATGGAAAAATAAAATTTCGAGTATGGTATCTTCTTGATTGATTATTACTTGATAAAATATTACTGATGAAAGGGGACAATTTGTTATCCAAGTAGGCCTATTATTTATGCTTGAGAGGCAGAATATGATAGGCCTATTTATTAAGGTCGAAGATATAGGTCCAGATGTACCGTATTTAATGAAAAAAAAAATTATGGATCAAAAAACATACAACAAGAATCAAACGGTGCTAACAAAACCACAGGAAATCTTGTGTGAGGAATTTCTATTCTATACACACCTGCATGCAAATAGCTGGTTAAACAATCGCCTGGATCAATCAAATGAAAATATTTTATCTGAAGGAGAGTGGTGTATGTCAAGACACTATACTACATGAATGTGAAGATGCCTTACGTAAATTGAAATTAAATAAAGCAGGAAGTGATGGCTTGACCGTGGATTTCTATAAATTATTCCGGAAAGACATTTGAAAAATTGTTTGTAATGCGTTCAATGCCTTGCTATTATAATGGTGTGAAATGAGTCATAACCAACAACGTGAGGTGTAATAAATTTACTATATAAAAAGGAGATAAACAATTGCTAGAAAATTGGCGTTATAACATTGCTAAATACTCATTGTAAAATTTTAATTTTTAATTTAAATTTCAAATCCTGTGTGTTCCATACTTAATAATATAATTTAAATGATGACCAAAAGAGTACCGGTAACATTCTAGGAAATCTTTTCATTTTGTGAATGAGTAGCGATATGTCTAAACTAAAAAAAAAAAAAAAAAAAAAGTTTGGGGACTCATTTTGCAAATGGGTTAACACAATTTATAACAATACAGAAACGATATGCATTGAAATACCCAATACAGATAATGAGAATGAAGAAGTTCGCATTGCACAATTTGCAGATGAAACCGTTCTGTTTGTTGGAAATGAAAACAGTATCCGTTATGACCCAGGCCCTCAATAAAACTTCCATATGGATTGTCGAGAATATAAATAGAATTTAAAAACCACGTGATTTAAATTGGGTACATGAGCCAGTAAAAATATTGGGAATACTGTATAGTGGGAGACAATAAAAAGGAATGTAAAAAACTTAATTGGGATAAAAAGCTAATTAATTATTTAATTTAGAAAGGTTACTAAACCAAGTGGAAGGTATACAGAAACCTTACTTTCTTCGGAAAGGTGACAATATTGAAGAGCCTCCTTTCGTTGTATAAATGAACTTAATGCATCAATAATTGAGGTTCAAGGGGATATTATTTTTAAGGTAAATAAATTGACATACGATTTTGAAATGAACAAGAGAAATAAAAAACATTAATTGGTAATCTAATTGAAGGTGCATAAATTTGTCTGATTTCTCATTACATAAAAGCCCTCAAAATTATTTGTGCAAGAAAATTACATAAGAAAACACATAAGATGAATATCATTGCCGTTTACATAAATAAAGTTGGAAAAGAAGTACGCCTGGATTTTAGTATGTCTAAACACAAAAGATCACAAAGACTTTAATAATGTACGTACTTTTTATTTTAACCTTATCAAGCGTTGTGTTGATTTAAACAACATCGAGAATCGATGGTTAACATAGCAGAGGTAAACAAAAATAAGATAATTAAACATAGAAATAAACCTTTGTTTTGACTCAGGATTTAATAAAATCAGTTACTGTATATAATTTCGAATAAGTAAAAACACTACGAGGCATTTAATAAAACATACAACCGTCTTTAATCAAATTGCTGTCGCGGGCTCAATAATGAGCCAGATCGTGTAGTAGCAAACATTCGGAAATACTGTTTCCATCATCAATGCGAAAATACCAATTTTGCCAAGGTTTAATTTTTATACCTCCATGGTTTACATCAGTGCATTAGAACACGTGTATGAAAAAAACAAATTGTTGATTTGACCACACATCCCACAATTCAATTCTATTTACTATAACACGCTTTCAAAATTACAAGTATAAATGAGTGTCATTGGTAGAACGGCCTCCAGTGGTAATTAAAAAACCGTGTTCAATCCAACAGTGTACTATAAACACAGCCTTGTATTTCTAGTATCTTTGGTAGTACCGTGTGGCGGACGATAATCAAAGATCGTATAGCGCTGCATACAATCTTCGTTATTATAGCCTTACCTTAGCCGATTACTATACTAATTGTCTACACTATCAAATTTTAAGTGACAATATTATCTGCGAGTAGGTTGTTTGTTTCTGCGAGTAGGTTGTTCGTTTCTGCGAGCGAGTACGTTGTTCGTTTCTACGACGAGTAGATTGTTCGTTTGTAACTGTATTTTTGGCGGCGATTGCCTTCAATAGGTACGATGCCGTCATATTAGAGGAATATTGGTATACCCATAGAGCTATTATTCTTATTATACCTCTATGGGTATACCACAAAAACGGCCTTCGGTCATGTTCCAACTCCAGAGCTATAATAAATAATATGATGAAAATTACATAGAATTACATTGGAATTACAAAGCAATCCTTATACATAAATTTACTTTACCATGTTATCTGTAATTGGAGAATTTCAGAATTTTATTAATTTTCAACAATGTGGAAAAAACACAATATTCCTGGACCAAACGAGACTATGACTTCCGGAAACATTTTTGGAAGCTAGGGAGCCCATAATGGGAAGAACTACTAAACTTATTAGCGAATCAAATTAAAGCAGTGTCGATGATCAAAAAGATAAAAGTGAGAGTTTCTTCTTTTTTGGTAACATATTCGTCCGATCGGTACTTTGATAAGAAAGCTTTTGTAAGAAGAAACACACAATGGGAAAAATTAAGTCGTCTAAAATTAAAAATCACTGTGTCCAACTATAGCCAATTTGGTAACCATTGGACACAATGAAAAAGAACAGGATTATCTTGAAAAATAATAACAAAATATTTATAGTTTATCACTGTGTCCCACACAATTTTTACTATTACTAGCCAAATATAAACAGTCCCTCCCCTCATCAATAAAAACAAAAGCGAAATAACGAATTGTTCTCATTAACAAACAAAAACAAAAACAAAACAAAAATAACAAAAAACCGCCCTCCCTCATGGTTTTTTTTAAAGAGTGATAATCTAATAATTTTTTCTATGTGCTCTTAAAAGCCATTGAACACAATGAAAAGGAAAAGGATTAACTTAGAAATATTAAAGAAGACAGTTGTACTTCATCACTGTGTCCCACTATAGCCAATTTGGTAACCATTGGACACAATGAAAAATATTATTTTTGAAATTATTATTATTATTATTATTATTATTATTATTATTATTATTATTCAACTTTATTTCACGAGGGTAGCTCTAACAGCTGCACTACAGTAGTACAGCTGACTTGAAGAGGCACTCTAAAGAAAAACAATACATAAATATATATTAAACAAGATATTTATAGTTTATCACTGTGTCCCACAATGTTCTATTTTCTCTATGGTCCCACTATAGCCAATTTAGGGCACTGAAAAAATTGTTAGATTTTCACTCCTCCTTCCCCCCACCCACCCCCGCAGGGAAAATTCGGGAAATATTGATGCGGGAAGAAAAAAAACAAACTTTGCCGCATTAATTATTTTCACAGCATAACACAATGCAAATTTGTGACTTCAGATACATTTCTTTAAAAAACTATAAAATTTAAACCAGTTTTTATACAATATTTACTATTACTAGCCAAATATAG